AGACTTTATGAATATTCATATGTTGTTACAGCAACAATATCCGCAGCTTTTTGCACCTTTAGCTTTGAACAAGACTATATTATCTCAGCGAGGGTTAGTCCACTACTTGCTTCTAGAATAAACCTTCTAGTTTGGATGCCGAATAATCTGGGGAGTTTACCAGACAAAGAAAGTTTGACCCCAGGAAAAACTACTTAAGTTACGCTCGCTCCTCGGTGTTTCACGTCTTTCAAGTTTCGTTAGCAACAACCTGTTCGTAGGTAAATTCAGTTTTCAGAAAACCCTTCTGGTTTGGATGCCAAATAACTTAAGAAGTCCACCAAATAGAAAAGCTTGACCCCAAGAAAAACCGCCTGAGTTACGCCTGCTTCTCGGTGTTTCACATCTTTTAGGCTTCGTTGACAACTGTTTTACTCAAGACAGAACTGAGAATAGTATATATCTTGAAACTTTCTATATCGTTTTTCCGTAGTTCGGTTTTTTTGTTGTGTTGTTCAGAGGATCGTCAGAAAGAGTTTGACCACATCCCTGTCTTAATATTTTATAATTGTAATATATAATAGTAATTTACAATATATTTGATTATATTATTTAAGTATTATATATATTTTTTTTAAATTAACAAATGCAAGATTATAAAATGGTTTATAATTTTGTTAAAAGTTGGTAAAAAATTCTATTTGCTCATCATGTTGCTTTGTTAAACTTCAGTTATATGTATATATTAATCTTTTATAGTTTTAATAATCATCTCCATTTGTTTTTTAATGAGTATACAAAACTCTTAAATATTTTCTTTTCATTCTCAAATTGTTTTTATTTAATATTAGAGAAATTGATCTATAAAATTATTACAATATTAAAAATAAATAAATAAATATAAATATATAATAATAATATAAATTTTTAATATATACCTCATCATCACTATCATTATTTGCCACCTTTTGTAATTTTCACTTTATTCTATTAATTAAATTGCTTGTAACAGATGATGTGATGCTTAGATCTTTTTTTAGATATTCATCTATATTAGTAAAAAATTTCTAATTATTTTGAATCACTTCTTTACCAGTGCTTTAAATTGTATGTTTTACATTATGATACTTTTACAAAAGATTGTTCTATTTGTGTTAAATTGATGCTTTTGTATGATCTTTTAAACTTGAACTTGTATTGGATAAAGCTTGCAAATTTGCAATAATGCTATCCCAAATTCTACCTTTTTTTCATAGATCTCTTACTTATTGCAATGCATGCTGCTGCTTTTCAACTTCTTCAATTAGCATCTGAGTTTCAGAAAACATCTATCTATTTGTTGACTTATTAGTTAATACAGTGAAGGTTGAACTTGAAGAGCTAGATGTAGATTCTGGAATATCTAAAAAAGTCAATGAATTTTCCTGCTCATTATTTGTAATAGAAAGTTCCTCCTAATAAAATTAATTTTTTATGTTTATTTATTTATTTTTTTTTTATTCATTATTTTATTTATTTATAATTTTTCTTTTACTAAAAAATTTTTTAATAAATACTTTGTCATTTTCAATATTAGTCTTGTTCAAAGCTAAAGGTGCAAAAAGCTGCGGATATTGTTGCTGTAACAACATATGAATATTCATAAAGTCT